AGGAAGGGATGAAGGAAAGAAGGAAGGAAAGAAGAAAAGAAAACATAAAAGAAGGAAAGAAGGAAGGAGGGAAGGAAGGAAAGATGGAAGGAAGGAAGGAAAGAAGGAAGAAAGGAAAGAAAAAAGGAAAGAAAGAAGGAAGGAAAACATGAAAGAAGGGAAGAAGAAAGGAACGGATGAAGGAAAGAAAGAAGGAAAGAAGAAAGGAAAACATGAAAGAAGGAAAGAAGGAAGGAAGGGAGGAAAGAAGGAAGGAAAGAAGGAAGGAAAGAAAGAAGGAAAACATGAAAGAAGGAAAGAAGAAAGGAAAACAGGAAAGGAAGGAAGGAAGAAAAGAAAGAAGGAAGGAAAGAAGGAAAACGGAAGGACAGAGTGAGGAATAAAGGAAAGAAGGAAAAAGGAAGGAAGGAGAGAAGGAAGGAAAGAAGATACAAAGGAAGAATCCATTCCTTTCACCTTTTTTTGTCACTTGTGAATGTTGCCAGTGCAAATCAGATCACAATAAGGAAACAGCCTGTCTGCATTCTATGCCACACACAGGTTTCATATTTGCATGAACAGGATGGTTTAAGGAAAACCAGACGCAGGTTCCCACTGATTTCAGCCAGGTTTTGCTCAGATTTATTGCAAATCAACTCCTGATGTCAAGGCAAGTTCTTGCCTGGGGTGCGATGCATGTGAATCCCCCTCTTGCTTTGGGTCCTGTCCAGAAAGAGGCAGCATTAGGGCTCGCCAGAGTCTATGTACTAACTGCCATGGGTCCATTCTGTGGCATCCAGCTGTGACCTAATCTGAACACTTTCCCCCTGGGCCCTATCTAGAAACAATTGCACATTCCCTGATCCCTCTGCACTCGACACTTATTCTCTCAGCCATGATACTGTTTTAAAATTTGTGATGTGATTGTAATGTTTCTCTGATGTCGTGGATGATTTTATTTTATTTTATTTTATTTTATTGTGTGTGTTTTAATCTGTATTTTATTGGGCCTGTCCCCTTGCAAGCTGCCCCGAGACCATTGGGGAGATGGTGGGCATAAAACAAAGTGATTATTATTATTATTATTATTATTATTATTATTATTATCATCATCATCATCATCATCCTGGGATTCATAGTTTGGTGAAATCCTTAGAAGGCTTCTAAAGGGCCAGTCCGGTGGCCTCTTGCAGTTGACAGTGAATGATTTTAAGTGCAGGTCAAGGTCTTTAGGCACTGCACCCAGTGTGCCGATCCCCACTGGGACCCCCTTGACTGTCTTGTGCTAGAGTCTTTGCAGTTCAACCTTTAAACCCTTGTGTGTAAGCTTTTCCAGTCATTTCTCTCAATCCTGCTGTTGTACCATTGACAATCCATACTTTGTTTCCCCCCATGATGTTGAGGTCAGAAATCTTGTTCTCCAAAACTCTGTCAATCTGAATTCAGAAGTCCTAGAGTAGTTTGACGTGTTCATTTTCTGTAACCTTTTCAGGCTTGTGATTCAGGCAGATGGTGTTTGTGGCACAAGTTTTAGTGGCTCATCTGAGCGAGGGTGTTGTGCCTCTGCTTGTAGTCCCTCTGCTGATCTTCTTTCAGCTGCTGAGGATGTGATCCATCGTTTCCTCTGCTTCCTTGCAGAATCTAGACTTGGGATCTGTCCTCCACTTTTCAATTCTAGCTTGGATGGCCTTGGTTCTAGTGGCTTGTTCCAATTGTGGTACACATCCATGTTTTTTCTTTGTCTTTGCTCTCAATTTTTCCCAGGAACTGTCCATGAAGAGCCTACTTTGGCCAGCATTCTCTTCTCTTCTGCTCTGCATTGTATTTTTACATTATACAGTCTTTGTCTTTTGCACTTGAAGCAGTTTTCTATTACTGACTTCCATCAATGTTGTTATATTATTATTATTATTATTATTATTATTATTATTATTATTAGAAACACAACAAGATGAGTCCACAGCAAACAAGATCACTCTGCTGACTTTTGTATTCGATCACACATACCCTTCCCAAGTGTCTAGGACTGTGTGATGTATCTGCAGATCCCAGTATGGTGGCCTTTTGCAGCTGGCAAAAGTTGAATGGCCTTAAGTATTTTCTGTTGGTCATGGGCCTTCTGTGTGGAAGGTTTGCCTCAATTCTATGGTTGGTGGGGTTCAGCATGCTCTTTGATTGTGGGTGAACTATAAATCCCAGTAACTACAACTCCCAAATGTCAAGGTCTATTTCCCCCAAACTCCATCTGTGTTCATATTTGGGCATATGCCAAGTTTGGTCCAGATCCATCATTGTTTGAGTTCACAGTGCTCTCTGGATGTAGGTGAACTACAACTCCCAAGTTCAAGGTCAATGCCCACCAAACCCTTCTAGTGTTTTCTGTTGGTCTTGGAAGTCCTATCTGCCAAGATCGGTTCAATTCCATAATTGGTGGAGTTCAGAATGCTCTTTGCTTGTAGGTGAACTATAAATCTCAGCAACTACAACTCCCAAATGACAAACTCGGCAGTGACAAATGCAAGATACTCCACTTTGGCAGGAAAAACGAAATGCAAAGATACAGAATGGGGGACAATGCCTGGCTCGAGAGCAGTACGTGTGAAAAAGATCTTGGAGTCCTCGTGGACAAGAAGTTAAACATGAGCCAATAATGTGATGTGGCGGCAAAAAAAACCAATGAGATTTTGGCCTTCATCAATAGGAGCATAGTGTCTAGATCTAGGGAAGTAATGCTACACCTCTATTCTGCTTTGGTTAGACCACACCTGGAATATTGTGTCCAATTCTGGGCACCACAATTCAAGAGAGATATTGACAAGCTGGAATGTGTCCAGAGGAGGGCGACTAATGATCAAGGGACTGGAGAACAAGCCCTATGAGGAGCGGCTAAAGGAGCTGGGCATGTTTAGCCTGAAGAAGAGAAGGCTGAGAGGAGATATGATGAAGGCCATGTATAAATATGTGAGAGGAAGCCACAGGGAGGAGGGAGCAAGCTTGTTTTCTGCTTCCCTGGAGACTAGGACGCGAAACAATGGCTTCAAACTACAAGGAAGGAGATTCCATCTGAACATGAGGAAGAACTTCCTGACTGTGAGAGCCGTTCAGCAGTGGAACTCTCTGCCCCGGAGTGTGGTGGAGGCTCCTTCTTTGGAAGCTTTTAAACAGAGGCTGGATGGCCATCTGTCAGGGGTGATTTGAATGCAATATTCCTGCTTCTTGGGAGGGGGTTGGACTGGATGGCCCATGAGGTCTCTTCCAACTCTCTGATTCTATGATTCTAACTCAATTTTTTTGAGTGAAGGACATACATTGGGTTGTTAGGTGTCTTGTGTCCAAATTTGATGTCAATTCCCCCAGTGGTTTTTGAGTTCTCTTAATCCCACAAACGAACATTACATTTTTATTTATATAGATTATTATTAGTAGTATTAGTAGTAGTATTAGTAGTAGTATTAGGATTCTGAATGCGAATTCAGAAGAAGTGCGCATTCAGAAGAAGATCTACAAGCCACTCTAAACACCTTCGCAGAAGCATAAGCAGAAGCATAAGCGGCCTGTCACTGAACATCGAGAAAACCAAAGTGCTGTTCCAGCAGTCACCAGCCATCCCCTCCCCAATGCCAGAGATACAACTTAATGGTGTAACATTAGAAAATGTTGACCATTTCTGCTACCTTGGCAGCCACCTCTCCACCAAAGTCAGCATCACCACCAAAACACAACACCGCCTGAGCTCTGCGAGTGCAGCATTTTCCCCCAATGAAGCAGAGAGTGTTTGAGGACCGGGACATCCGTAGGGATACCAAGGTGCTTGTCTATAAAGCTATTGTCCTCCCAACCCTGCTCTATGCCTGCGAAACGTGGACTGTCTGCAGACCTCACATGCAACTCCTGGAACGATTCCATCAGCGCTGCCGCTGCCTCCGGAAAATCCTGCAAATATCTTGGGAAGACAAGCGGACAAACGTCAGCGTGCTGGAAGAAGCAAAGACCTCCAGCATTGAAGCGATGGTCCTCTGCCATCAACTCTGCTGGACCTGAACTTAAAATGGAATGTTGGTGGACAGGAAAAGAGATTTAAACATGGCCTCAAAGCCAACCTTAAAAACTCTGGCATAGACACTGAGAACTGAGAAGCCCTGGCCCTTGAGCGCTCCAGTTGTAGGTCAGCTGTGACCAGCAGTGCTGCAGAATTTGAGGAGGCACGAGTGGAGGGTGAAAGAGAGAAACGTGCTAGGAGGAAGGCGCGCCAAGCCAACCCCGACCTGGACCGCCTTCCACCTGGAAACCAATGCCCTCACTGTGGGAGAAGATGCGGGTCAAGAATAGGGCTCCACAACCACCTACAAACCCACAAAAATAGTCATCAAGGAAGACCATCTTACTCGTCCAAGGAGTAAGTAAGTAAGTAAAGTATTAGGATTACTAAGTAAGTAAGTAAGTAAAGTATTAGGATTACTATTAGTCGTATTAGTATTAGTATTCTCTGGCAGTGTAGCTCCATCCCAAGTGTCTCCCCTCCTTGCTGAACTAGCTCGTCTTCTTCCAGCCCCTTCTTTCCCCCTTTAGACTGAGCTCTGTGGAGTGCTCTAAGGGTTCAGTGGAAGCCTTTGCTGGAGCCACCGACTCTAGGGTTCGAGGGGAGGCGAGTTGACCCCTTGTAAGGGTCTGAAAGCGCAATAAAAGCCGGGTTTGGCGCTTGCCTGCTCTTCCAAAGGGCTTGTTGGGAGAAGGGGAGGAGGGAGCGAGGGAGGGGAGAGGCGGTCTTTGGACGTGAGATTTCAAACATCAGATCCCTGCGTTTATAGATTGGGTGCCCGGAAATTTTTTTTCCAAATAAACACAGCTTGATTCGACTTGGGTGGGCAGACTTATCAACAGCTCTAATGCTATAAACAAAGGGAGGAGGAGGAGGAGGAGGAGAAGGAGAAGCCGGGCTCTGTGTGGCTTTGGGGTTTGGAGAGAAAGGAAGGGGAAAAAAAAGGGGGGGGGGGGCTGGGGGCGAAGAAGGAGAAGGAGAAGAAGACGAAGGGGGCAATGGGGAGAATTTTTAATTAATGTGGGTGGGCTGTGAAAGCGAGAGAGGGCTTGTTTATCGGAGACCATTTATTTTCCAGCGCTAAGTCAACACAGCATCGCGGACGTACCACAATTATTGCACACTCGTCTTCCCCCCCTTTCCTCCTCCTCCTCTTTCCTCGTTTCTTCCTTTCTTCCTCCCCTTTCGTTTGGGAAAAGAGAGAAAGAGTGAGAGAAGGAGAGAAGGAGAAGCAGCAGAAAGGAGATCCTGTGCGTCAGAGGAGGTGGACGGGAGGGGCGCCCCCTTTGGGAGCCTCTGCCCCCCAAACCGGACTGAACCCGGGCTCGAAACGGGGTCCGTTCGGAAGGGAAATGAGCCAGCTTTACAGCGGTGCCTCTCCCCCTCTGCTGCTCTATGGGGCCGAGAGGCTACGGGGCGCTTTGCTGGGCTTCCCTTTCTCGCTCAGCCGGCCGGATCCGCCTCAGAAGCCTCCCTATAGCTACATCGCTCTCATCGCCATGGCTATCCAAGCCGCCCCCGGCAGGAAAGTCACCCTGAGCGGCATCTACCAGTTCATCCTGGACCGCTTCCCCTTCTACCGGGAGAACAAGCAAGGCTGGCAGAACTCCATCCGGCACAACCTGTCGCTCAACGCCTGCTTCGTGAAAGTGCCCCGCGAGAAAGGCCGGCCCGGGAAAGGCAGCTACTGGACCCTCGACCCACGCTGCACGGACATGTTCGAGAGGGGCAACTACCGGAGGAGGAAGAGGAGGCCCAAGACCCCCGAGGGGGCCCGGGAGGAAGCCCTGCCGCCCGAGGAAGAGACAGCAAGAGAGGAGCAGGAAGAAGAGGAGGAAGAAGACGAAGAAGAGGGAAAGGAGGCTCCTAGCAAGAGCCCAGGCGCACCCCAAGGAGCTGGAGTGCAAGAATCGTCTCTTCAAGGATCTGGCCTTCACGAATCGGGCTTGCAAGGGCCAGCCCCCCAAGAAGGCAGTCTCCAAGGAGAGGGTCTCCAAGCATCTCTCCAAGGGAGATCGGCCCTCCAAATGACGGTTCTCCCAAAGTCAGGACTCCAAGAATGGAGCCTCCAAGGAACGCATCTCAAAAAAGAACCCACCCTCCAGGAACCTGCCTTACGAAGGTCGGGCCTCCAAGAAGAAGCTCTCCCAAAGTCGCCCCTCCAGGAATGGAGCCTCCAAAGATCCGGCCTCAAAGGGTCGTCTCTCCAAGAATCCTGCACTCAAGGATTCATCGGTTTCCAAGACTCAACTTTGCAAGGGTCGGCCCTCCAAGAAGGACCGCACCTCCAGGAATCGGGTCTCCCAAAGTCGGCCTTCCAAGAAGGAAGCCTCCAAAGAGCGGCTGTCAAAGAAACGGGTCTCCTCCAGGAACCGGGTCTCTCAAAGTCGGGCCTCCAAGAAGGAAGTCTCCAAAGACCCGGTCTCCAAGAGTCGGGTCTCCCAAAGTCGGGCCTCCAAGAAGGAAGTCTCCAAAGAGCGGCTGTCAAAGAAACGGGTCTCCAAGATGCCGGCCTCCAGGAATCGGGTCTCCAAGAGCCTCTCCTCCAGGAATCGGGTCTCCAAGGGCCTCTCCTCCAGAAATCGGGTCTCCAAGGGCCTCTCCTCCAGGAACCGTGTCTCCAAGGGTCTCTCCTCCAGGAACCGGGTCTCCAAGGGTCTCTCCTCCAGGAACCGGGTCTCCAAGCGTCTCTCCTCCAGAAATCGGGTCTCCAAGGGCCTCTCCTCCATAATTCGGGTCTCCAAGAGTCTCTCCTCCAGGAATCGGGTCTCCAAGGGCCTCTCCTCCAGGAATCGGATCTCCTGAAGTCGGCCTTCCATGAAGGAAGTCTCCAAAGACCCGGCCTTCAAGGATCGGCTCTCCCAAAGTCTGGTCTCCAAGAAGGTAGTCTCCAAGGCTCGGGTGGTGGCGGAGAGGTGGGAAGATCCCTCCCTGCCTCACCTGCCAAGGCGCCGCCAAGCTTCAGCATCGAAAGCATCCTGTCGGAGAGAGCGCTCCGCCGGCGGCCGGGCCCCGCGGGCCCCAAGGCCTCGTGGTCCTGGCCCTTGGCCGAGTCCCGCCCGGCGCCCCTCCTGCTCCTCGACTCGCCCCTCGGCCTCCCGGGAGCCTTCGGCCAACTGGGCGCCCTGCCCTTCCTCTCCTACCTGCCGCTCCGCCTCCCCGAGCCCGCGCCGCACTTCCCCTGATCATGCAGGTGGGAGGCCTCCCACAGGTGGGATGCTGCCGGGAAGGCGGGGGCACTAGCCCAGGCCTTCACTCCCCCCTTCCAGGGATTTTGCACTCCAACTCTTGAAGTCCCAAACCTAGTTGCCCATACTCCTTTTAGACTTAGGGCTCCAAACCTTTTTAGGGCTCCAAACCTTTTTAGGGCTCCAAACCTTTCATGGTCGGAAGCACTGAGGTGGCTGTGAGTTTCCCAGGCTCTATGGCCATATTCCAGAAGCATCCTCTCCTGACCTTTCGCCTGCCTCTGTGGCTACTGGCATTTCCAGAGGTTCTGCTGGCAATGAAGCAAGTGGGGGGTATATGTATATAGTTGACTATGGAGCCTTATTTTTTTTATCTCCATCGTCTCCTGCATTGGTTTCCAGGTGGAAGGTGGTACTGGTAGGGGTTGGCTTGACATGCCTTCCTCTTGGCATGTTTCTCTCTTTCGCCCTCTATTTGTGCCTCTTCAAATTCTGCAGCACTGCTGGTCACAGCTGACCTCCAGCTGGAGTGCTCAAGGGCCCGGGCTTCCCAGTTCTCAGTGTCTATGCCAGAGATTTTAAGGTTGGTTCAATCCCCCCCCCCCAAAAAAAATTTCAGGTTAAAAAACCCCCCTAGTTTACTCATGAATTTTAATTGGTTAACCCAGGGGTCCTCAAACGTTTTAAACAGAGGGCCAGATCACAGTCCCTCAAAGTGTTGGAGGGCCGGATTATAATTTGGAAAAAAAAACATGAATGAATTCCTATGAACACTGCACATATCTTATTTGTAGTGCAAAAAACACTTTAAAAACAATACAATAATTAAAATGAAGAACAATTTTAACAAATATAAACTTATTAGTATTTCAGTGGGAAGAGTGGGCTTGCTTTTGGCTGATGAGATAGGATTGTTGTTGTTTTTGTGTGCTTTCAAGTCATTTCAGACATAGGTTGACCCTGAGCAAAGGCCGGGTAAATGACCTTGGAGGGCCGTATCTGGCCCTCGGGCCGTAGTTTGAGTACCCCTGGGTTAACCAAATCCCATGCTATGTCTATGAGACGCAAAAAATTAAGAGTCCCTCCAGAACTGCAAGCACTATCTCAAGCAAATATTGACAATTTATTCACACTGTAATTCTGGCTATGGCCCTGGCAATAGCCAATGTAGTGAAGCAACCAAGTTGGGGGAGGTGTTGAATGCTCTCATTAAGGAGGCCAGACTTGGTGGAGGTGGTTGACAGGGGCGGAGCTGCAGGCTATTGAAGGCTGCTCTGCCCCCTGCAGATGTGCTCTTTGCTTCAGCGTGAGCTAGGAGGCAGGGTTCAAACCCCCCCCCCCCCCAAATTTAATTTCAAATGCTTGCCTGAATTTTTTTCTGGCTACGGCCCTGTATGTATGTACTTCACTTGCTTCACTGCCAACAGAACCTCTGGAGATATTAGTGGCCACCGATGCCTACACACACTTTCTCACACACACAAACACATGTATGCCTATGTAGATATAATTACAGATATAGATTAGATATAGATAGGTGGTGCAGCACATTCAACTGTCTGACCCAAAGGGAAGTGTGGTGACTGAATCCAGGCAGCAGGATGAGCTCTTAGGCCCAGCTTCTGCCAACCTAGCAATTCAAATACATGCAAATGTGAGTAGATCAATAGGTACCACTTTTGCAGGAAGGTAAAGGCGCTCCAGAGATATTGACAAGCTAGAATGTGTCCAGAGGAGGGTGACTAAAATGAGCAAGGGTCTAGAGAACAAGCCCTTTGAGGAGCGGCTTAAAGAGCTGGGCATATTTAGCATGAAGAGGAGAAGGCTGAGAGGAGACATGATGGCCATGTATAAATATGTGAGGGGAAGTCATAGGGAGGAGGGAGCAAGCTTGTTTTCTGCTGCCCTGGAGACTAGGACGCGGAACAATGGCTTCAAACTACAGCAAAGGAGATTCCACCTGAACATGAGGAAGAATTTCCTGACTGTGAGAGCCGTTCAGCAGTGGAACTCTCTGCCCCGGAGTGTGGTGGAGGCTCCTTTTTTGGAAGCTTTTAAACAGAGGCTGGATGGCCATCTGTCGGGGGTGCTTTGGATGCGATTTTCCTGCTTCTTGGCAGGGGGTTGGACTAGATGGCCCGTGAAGTCTCTTCCAACTCTATGATTCCATTCCATGCAGCAATGCCAGGAGCCACATCAACTTGGAGGTTGTCTACCGACAATGCTGGCTCTTCTGCTTAGAAATGGAGATGAGCACCAACCCCCTGAGTCAGACATGGCTAGAGTTAATGTCAAGGGGAAACCTTACCTATGATATTCATAATCTTTTGGAAAATGCCTTTTACAGAAGAGCCCAACACCCTTTAGAGTAGAATTTTCTCTTCTGGCATACAACCAGATACAATAATTATACAAGGCTATGGTTTCGGTGGTTAGACTGAATAACCTGTTGTTTCTGATCTGTTAGGAAAACAGAGATTTGCTGGTGCATAAAAACAGCACTGCTTCAGAAGTGTTTTGCAGTGCCCAAAATATATCTACTCTCCCATAAAATAGCTTGTTTCATATCATGCATACAAGAGACAAACATGAAGTAGGCTTGGATAAAAATCACATATTTGGTTTACTCACAGTCTTCATGTGTCGAGCGTACACAGGTACACAACTTTTCATTCCAGTTTCAGATATGTTTGAGATAATTCTTTGTGCCATCTGGCCAGCACATCTCTCTTGTAACAAAACAGCTTTCAACAGGTTACATAGTTATAGAATCATAGAATCAAAGAGTTGGAAGAGACCTCATGGGCCATCCAGTCCAACCCCCTGCCAAGAAGCAGGAATATTGCATTCAAATCACCCCTGACAGATGGCCATCCAGCCTCTGTTTAAAAGCTTCCAAAGAAGGAGCCTCCACCACACTCCAGGGCAGAGAGTTCCACTGCTGAACAGCTCTCACAGTCAGGAAGTTCTTCCTCATGTTCAGATGGAATCTCCTTCTTGTAGTTTGAAGCCATTGTTCTGCATCCTAGTCTCCAGGGAAGCAGAAAACAAGCTTGCTCCCTCCTCCCTGTGGCTTCCTCTCACATATTTATACATGGCTATCATATCTCCTCTCAGCCTTCTCTTCTTCAGGCTAAACATGCCCAGCTCCTTAAGCCGCTCCTCATAGGGCTTGTTCTCCAGTCCCTTGATCATTTTAGTCGCCCTCCTCTGGACACATTCCAGCTTGTCAATATCTCTCTTGAATTGTGGTGCCCAGAATTGGACACAATATTCCAGGTGTGGTCTAACCAAAGTGGAATAGAGGGGTAGCATTACTTCCCTAAATCTAGACACTATGCTCCTATTGATGCAGGCCAAAATCCCATTGGCTTTTTTTGCCGCCACATCACATTGTTGGCTCATGTTTAACTTGTTGTCCACGAGGACTCCAATATCTTTTTCACACGTACTGCTCTCGAGCCAGGCATCCCCCATTCTGTATCTTTGCATTTTGTTTTTCCTGCCAAAGTAGAGTATCTTGCATTTGTCACTGTTGAACTTAGTCAAAAGGAGAGAGAGGAAGAGCATGTGGTCTGCAGCTCCTTTTATAACTTCTCAGGAACCATAGAGTAAAAGAAGCTGTAAACCAGAACATATATACAGGAAACAGTATGCAGCAGGATTGTAGATAAACATTATTAGAGGAGGCTTGAAGAAGGTTGTCATTTCCAACATATATACCTATGGAATAATGTCTAGGGTGGGGACTCAAGGTGGCGAACAACAAAAACAACAACAACAACAACAACAACAACAATGAGATAAACATTACTAGAGAAGGCTTGAAAAAAGTTGTCATTTTCAACGTATATACCTATTGAATAATACTTACTTACTTACTTAGGCAATCCCTCGTTTTCTGAGGAGGATTGTCTTCCAGTGTTCTTGTGGGTCCGTATGTGGCTGTGGAGCCCTATTCTTGCTCTGCATCTTCTTCCGCAGTGAGGGCATTGGTTTCCAGGTGGAAGGCAGTCTCGGTCGGGGTTGGCTTGACGTGCCTTCCTCTTGGCACGCTTTTCCCTTTCGCCCTCAATTCATGCCTCTTCAAATTCTGCAGCACTGCTGGTCACAGCTGACCTCCAGCTGGAGCGGTCAAGGGCCAGGGCTTCCCAGTTCTCAGTGTCTATGCCAGAGATTTTAAGGTTGGCTTTGAGCCCATCTTTAAATCTCTTTTCCTGTCCTCCAACATTCCGTTTTCCATTCTTGAGTCTGGAATAGAGCAACTGCTTTGGGAGACAGTGGTCGGGCATCCAGACAACAGGGCTGGTCCAGCGTAGTTGATGGCGGAGGACCGTCATTTCAGTGCTGGTGGTCTTTGCTTCTTCCAGCATGCTGACATTTGTCTGCTTGTCTTCCCAAGAGATTTGCAAGATTTTCCGAAGGCAGTGCGAATAGAATCGTTCCAGGAGTTGCATGTGAAGTCTGTAGACAGTCCACGTTTTGCAGGCATATAGCAGGGTTGGAAGGACAATAGCTTTATAAACAAGCACCTTGGTATCCCTGTGAATGATGTTAAAAGCCAACATCTACCCACACTAAACAGTTTAAAAAGAGCAATACGAAAGTCAGAAAACAATTAAATAATAGGAGTGTGGTAAAAAGCCATCAAGGACCTCCCAAACAAAGGATGCCTTCAGGCAGCAACAGCCAGGCATTATTTATTTATTTAAGAAATTTCTATCCCGGCTTTCTGCGCTCAAGGGCCCAAGGCGGCTCACAGCCAATAAAACATCCAATATAAAAGTTCAAACCAAGTTAAAACCATAAATATTAGACATGCTGTAAACTCTAATTAAAGTTCAATAAAATAGATTATACTAAGCTTATAATCTATGAAGCTGCAAGGCTTTTCAATGACAATCAAGCTGGCCAACTGCTTCAAAGAGACAAGGGTTCTTTTTCCCACCCTGAACATTATTCCACAGGTATATGCACTTTCCTTACCACATTTCCAA